GGTCAATGACACACCAATCAAACCAAAGTGTGCATGAGAAAAACATCTCCCAGACAGCCGCCTGCGAGTCAGATCCTTCCACTCCTAGTTCTCATCATATCTTAGGGCGTCCCTAAGGGCGACCCCGCCCCGGCCTCGCCCTTCTTCCACCGTCTCAGTGGGCCGCACGGCGTCTCTCAGGGCGATCCCACCCTGACCTTGCCCTTCTTCCACCGTCTCCTCCGTGGGCCGCACGCCGAAGGAGTTTGCTGCAATGCCCGCCTCGGCTAGCTGGAGGGTGTTGTACGCGTAAGGCCACAATCCTGCAATGGAAATAGTTACTTGCTAAGCACAGTATTTATCACTGAGAAACCATGGAAGATTCGAAACTCGATTGGTAAAAGGAGGAGGCACCGTCTGCGTCGAAAGGATATGGGAAAAATTGCAGGTAACAGAACGAGGCCACCGTGAGACCTGCAAAGGGAAAGAGGAGTATTTTTTTTTATATTAATCAATTATGCGCGTCTAGAAGGTCACCTGTATAACTAATTTACGCAACTACGATGAATGGCGAAAGAACCTATGATAGCTCCTGCAAACACATCTTGCCAGTGATGCCAGTAGTCGTCCACTCGAGAAACGGCAACGAGCGCGGCTGTAAGCAGAGGCAGAACAATGATGCACAGCTTTGCGATATGGCCTTTTCGGTCAAAAACTGCGATTTTCCCAGTCAAGTACCAGGTGAGGAAGCCCAGGCCGGCGAAAGACCCTGGAATAGATTGATTATTAGCACAAGGTGAAAGAAAACGGGTTATTATATCGACGGTCTAGTTAGGTGATCTAGCCATGACCTATTTGACGCAATTGTAACAACACTACAAGATAAATAGATTGTACATGTGGGTAATAAAAGACTGAGACCCCCAGTTTTGATACTGACTTGGCCTGAAAACTTATTGCCTTTACCTAGAAAAATGCTTCTGATAAAGTGATAAGACTTGCATTTCACCACACAGGGCATGTTTTGGCTGTAACCTTGAGACAAGGCTAGGCCAATTTCGTGGGATCTCTAATCAAACACATGACCTATGTGCATTGTCCATGATAAGATGTATATATATACCTCCACAAAATGGTACACATGACAAACGCAATGTTTTTATGCCGTGGAGTAGTTCCAGAACTAGTTACCGCACAACTACTACACCAAGCAGCAACCAAAGCATCTAAACTGAAATGGGGCACTTCCTGGTCCGCTGCCACATCGCACCAATTTAGCCAATGCACCAGGCTGTCTTGTGCCCAATTGTGGCCTAGCCACCCTTCAGAGTTCCCCTGGTTCAATGACTGCCACTAAAAGCATCTAGCCTCTATAAATAAGCACCGGTGCTTAAAGAAAAACTGGTTTATTTCTCTACTAGGCACCTTGCGTTGGGCAAGGCCTTCTAAGGCCTTGTACAATGGGAGGTGCTTAGGGGAGGTGCTTAGAGAAATAAACCAGACTTTTTCTAAGCACCGGTGCTTATTTGTACAGGATAGACGCTTAACTAAGCGTCTCTCCTGTAGAAATAGGCACCGGTGCTTCAGAAAAACCCGGTTTATTTTCCTAAGCATCTCTCTAAGCACCTCCCATTGTACAAGGCCTAAGCCAGCTAACACAAGCAGCCCAACCAACCGCAAAAGTACAGGTACCATCACTTATTCCCAGGTCCCAGCATGGTTTGTGTCAAAAAGGATTATCACAAGGGTGTAAAAAACGACTTCAAGTATGTAACTGAGTTTTAAAGAATTCCATAGACATAGCTGACCAAATGCCTGACACCAGTATTACCAAAGGAAACATTAAGTATATTAAATGACTTACATGATGCGTGTCCACTTGGGAAGCTCTTGTGACCTTCCTTGATGACACTCTTCTCCCCATGGCACAGAACGCCAGTAGTGACATTATCATAAAGCTGAAAAAGAATCCTTCGATGAGTTTTGGTCAATATGGACTCCATAGATGAGAAGAACTGAACAATGGGCAGGTCAACAAAGATGAACTTGTGAGTTCTCGGCTAGTAATCGTACATCCTTTCCATCTGGGAAACAGCGCCAGAAGAAATCAGGACGCGGTCGGCCAACTCCATCCTTAATTGCGTTAGTAATCACCGCAGTTATGAGCACCGAATAAAGAATACCTACAACAATATATGTGTTTAGAATTAAATCTCGTGCATACAATATCGACATATTCATATGCCTAGGAATATGTAGATACCCAGTATGCCATGGTGCAAATCATAGAAATTCTTCTTCTTGAAGTAAATTCCACCAAAGATGACACAGGGTAGGACGATTCCAATGAGCTGCAAATCATGTGAGTTACAAAATCGGAACCATCCATTTTGAGTGGTACAAAAACGATGTAAACAATGGAAAGTCCAAAATTAGCAGCACAAGAACACACCGGAACAGCCCAGAAGGGCACAGTATTGCCCTGTAAGGGATATCTCAAGTCAGTCATCATGTCCTTCCCAACGAAACGGTGAAAAGGCTCAATTATATTCAACAATCCATCTATGACAGCAAGGAGGACAAGTATTATCCAGTCATACATGTGGAGTCTTGCAATTTTGGCTCCATGGGACTTTATAGTGTAACAGCTTAACTGGATATCCGCCATTATGTCCTATAAATAACAAAAGAAGCAAGACAAAGAATTGTTGAGTCCTATAAATAACAAAAGAAGCAAGACAAAGAATTGTTGAGTCAGTTGCAATAATTACAAGATAGACTGGATGTAATACAGCTATGATTAATGAAATAAAGGATACAAAAAGAAAAAAGATTAATAACGAATACAGGAGCAGAAATACTTCAGTTGTAGCATTTCTGAAGAAGACAATGTTATTCGCGCTAAGGTGGCTCCAACCATGGCGGCGAAGCCCCCGAGAACGTCCGATGACCGTTCAAAGGAAGTGTTCGGTAGAGTAGCTCCCGATTCGCATCGGTAGCCACGGGCTAGAAGTCCATATAGGTAGATTCAGCCAAACTTGGGTGAACGGTTGCCAGACAATGAGCCTATATTCAGAGGGAAGGAGTTCTAGGCAAGCAGCAGAGCACCCACGGTGACCAGCCGGAGGAGCACACCACGTCCACCTCGTTCTTCGCCAAGCTGGAGGAGCACACCATGGGTCACGCAGGCTCACAACCCACCTTGTTCTTCACCCAGACAAAGGGGTCATCTCATGTCTCACCGTCTCCTAGTCCGCCGATCGGTGAAACCATCACCTTGCTAACCGCCCAACAGAGTGCCCTTTGCCACCACGCCACTACCACGCCAGGGGTCGCTTCCCAGGCGGCAGCGGGAGAACAAGTAGGAGGTTTGGTGGGGCACGGCCGACATAAGGGAGCTGCGAGGAGAGGGCAGCGGCGGGTGCCGGCTGTGCCAACATCCCCAAAATACACTGCTACCAAACAAGGCCTCGGCGTGAAAGGTTCCTTCCGACATGAAAAGAGTGCTGCGGCACATTCAAGGCCACAAAATGAAAAGATGTAGCCGTCACTCAATCTCACACCCTAAAAGTATGGATCCAGCGAAAGGTTCCTACTACGGCCATCCCGAAGCTCAGCAATAGCATGAAGGATTCTTTCGACATAACGGCCAGCGACTTCGCTGGATCTACCAAAATTGCCTCCGATTATCCTATTCCTAATTTTCTGCCCAACGGTGAGCAAACACATAGCTACTTTGCTGCTCCATGGACAAACAAGCAACTTGCAAGCCTAAGCATGCTGACACATTCTTGTTGAATAAATTAACATATTCGTCTTCATGTCCGTCTACATCTAGCTTGAACAAGAGCAATTCGGCAATATTTAGAGGACAAATCAACAGCATGGACATTCTCTGCCAAGCACTAGTGTTAAGAAAAAGGTTGGGATTCAGGGGCGGGCCAGATAAGCTGGGATTTGGGGGAGGAAATTCAACCTCGTGTTGCCTCGTCTCTGAAGCTCCTTCCCCTGCTCCTGCAGCGGGAAACCACACCTAAAGAGATGCCAAACGACAAGTATCCGCCCCTGCTACTGCCACACCGCCGGCAAGCAGCAGCAGCCCCGCTATCCCGCGCTGCCGGCTAAGCTCGCGCTTGCTCCGCCTGCCCCGCTCGCGCGCGGGCGCCGCGGCGCTCTGCCTCTGGCCCAGCCTTGTGCAGAGAGAAGAACGGAGGGAGGGAGAAGAGGAAGGGAGGGACTCACTCATGTAGTCCGGCCGCCGGCGGAGCCCCAGATGCGCGCCGCCGCGCGGGTCGTCGGGGGGAGGCGAGAATCGACGGGGGGTTCGGGGTGGGGGGAAGTATCTGGGCCGTCTACCAAAGCATCCCCTCTTTATTTGCTTTTTAAAAATTTCTCGTCTGTTGATTGCTTTTTGTTCTTCATCAGATAGCTACCGAGCGGTTTTAAAATTCCCGAGTGGATACTAGACTTCACCAATACTTCACGGATGGCAAATTGTTTTATAAAATAAATTTTTTTATCTACTACCTACTCGAATGTTCAACATCGTCTGAGATGGTTTGGGCATATTCAACGCGGGCCTCCAGAAGCTCCAGTGCATAGCGGACGGCTAAAGCGTGCGGAGAATGTCAAGAGAGGGCGGGGTATACTGGATTTGACATGGAAGAAGTCCGTTAAGAGAGACCTGAAGGATTGGAGCATCACCAAAGAGCTAGCTATGGACAAGGGTGTGATGAAGCTTGCTATCCATGTGCCAGAGCCATGAGCTGGTTGCGAGATCTTATGGGTTTTACCTCTAGCCTACCCCAACTTGTTTGGGACTAAAGGCGTTGTTGTTGTTGTTGTTGTTGTTGTTGTTGTTGTTGTTGTTGTTGTTGATGTACTACCTACTCGAATGTGGACTTTTGGAACCTGGGTCTAGGCGCACCCACTTAGTATTTTTTCCAAATGGTAGTATAAAAAATCTATAAGATGTGAACTTTATCAGAACAAGCATGTTTCAAATAGAGATTTTTTAACATAAGAATTTTTTAAATAGTAGTATAAAAAAATCTACAGAGTCGCGTGAACCTGGGTCCATGTGAGGCCGCGTCCTCGAAAACACCACGTGGCCGTGGCCAGCTGCTGCTACTTTGTGTCGTCAGTTTGGCTTCTCGGGAGTGTGAATGTGTGATGTGATCTTCTTACTCCATCTGTTTTCAAAATAGATGACTCAACCTTGTAGTGTAACTGTCAGCGAATGAGCTACATGATAGCTAGCTAATCACCGGAGACAACACTTTTTTGTCTTTTTTTGGCAACACAAACTAGGGCCACTTGTTCACTGTAACTGTTTCGCCTAGTAACCCTTAAAGAAAAGAACTATATTTCACCTACTACAATAGTACTCCCTCCGTTCCATAATATAAGAACGCTTTTGACACTATATAAGAACGTTTTAGACCGAGGGAGCAGTATATACTGTATTGTTGTGTAATGTCTTTGTGCAAGTTGCACGCTTCCTTACCTACCTTGCATGACAGCAATGCTTTCTCCCAACAAGTATTATGCGTCATTGATATTAAAGTTCAAACAGTTGAAGCTTTTCTTCTCGACTAGTTTCATCGAAGCTCAAGTCGAATTTGTGTTGGATAACTATCTCTTCTGGTATCAGCCTCTTCTGTTTGTAATAAACAAGCAACATATTGGGGATTACCGATAGAAAAAGTTACAACCAATCTTTTCTTTTGGAAACCTGGATCGAATATCAGCCCCATTGAAAAGAGAACACGACACCCATTTACGTTGGGGCTCGGAATGTGGCAGAGAGCTAATAAAATCCATTCCATTTTATCAATATGAAATGTTATAGTTTGCTTCTCCGTAGCCAAGATATGACATGATTACTAAATAGTTGGAGATACACTTTCCCTCGATACAGTAACTGCCCCTATCAAAACAAAATAATTAGATTTGCTTCCCCACTTCGTCGAGGGGATTTATATATTGGTTGAGGATTCCTACAATGGTACAACAGATCAATCCATTCAAATTAGTGAAATCATTATGGTGAATTCTCCTCATGATTGTAATAAACCCTCTTGTGCTCTCGCCATGTGGTTTCCCTACATACTAGATTTTTAGCTTGTTTGATGATTTAGCTGTGGAGGCATGCACCCTATGAGAGCAAGTGAAGTGGTGAATATATGATTTTAATTACTACGCATAAAGGTGAATAAAAAAATAAAAGCTGACTTGAGAAGCGTAACCCATGTGCTAAAATAGTACTCATAAGCACACAAAAGTCATGCAATGCGGTGGGCCAGCGTAGCACCTTCAAGTCACCATATCCAACTAATCAAACCAGTCTCCCCCGTGCCTCTCAACTCCAATTCTAATTTCATCTAGCAATAATATCAATCTCTCCCATGTCTCTCAGTTCCAATTCGAATTTCTTCTAGCAATGGGAGATCGTCCATATGTCTAGAGAGTGTGTGAGTGTATGTTCTGAATTGTGTAGGCTTGAAAGGCACTGGGTACAATATTATGGAAACAAGGCTCCGTCTGTTACAATCATTTATGTCTCCAACCTCAACTGGTGATTGGCCTCGACGGGAAGAGACCTTAGCGAGCTAGCAGCCGTAGGAAAAATGTACAATCCTTGCCATAAGGTGAAGTGACACTCACTGACCTGACATTCAGACATCTCGACATGAGGTCACACCTCCTCTCTGTAGAGTAATTGGTTTGTGTAGAATATGGATTTTTCCTGATGTGACACTCTTGTTTTTTCTCAACAGGAATTGGGCCCACTTGCTTATGCTAATTGTTTTGCCTAGCTGTATATGTTAAAAATTCGCACTAATAAGCTTCCATAGTGTGCTTGACACGTAATGCAACAACAATGAGCATCGACCTTATATGCCTGTGGCGCCCTATTCATCCATAGGATCTTGCGTTGAGATCCACACTTGAATTGTTTCATTTAGGTTGAGCATTATTTTAAAGCACACATTTAAGAGTTGTGGTGTTTCCCTACCTAGCTTGCATGACATTGAAACAAGAATTCATTTATCCCAACAAGAATTGCACGCCATTGGAACTACATTTCAAGCAGCTGAAGTTTTCCTTCTCGACTAGTTTTATTGAAGCTCAAATCAAACCCCACTGGATACACACCTTTTCTAGTATCGACTTCTGATGTTCTTCACAAACAAGCAACGTACTGGAGGATCATCCCCATTGTAAAGAGAAAATGACACCCCTTTACATCTGGGCTCAGGAAGGCTTTATACTGGATGTGTGCAGAGAGCTAATAAACCCCCATTCCTTTTTATCTATATGATCTATTATAGTTTGATTTTACGTAGCCAACATGTGACATGATTTCCCAGGAAAGGGTTGTCGACATCTCAACGTAAGAAGTTAGGGAAGAATCTAGACGTAGATGTGCCGAGAGTGAGAAGGTTGGTCTTCATTGAGACAATCTTCCTGTTTTGAATTATATGAATAATAGAAATCCTGACATGTATTAACTCCATGAGTGAAGATATACACTTTCCGTCGATATTATCACCACTCCTATCAAAAAAAAATTACTGGAATTTTTTACTCATTTCCTTCAGGGGATTCATATATCAGACGAGGATTCCTACAAGGGTAGAACAGATCAATCCATTCAATTCAATGGAACCATTAGGGTGAGTTCTCAATATGATTGTAATAAACCTCCTCATGCTCTCGCCTCTTTGTGTGCTGGTTTCGTCCACGTAAGACATGCTATGTGGTTGCCGTGCATACCAAATTTTGTAGAATAGCCATTGATTTAGCTTTGGAGGCATGCACCCGACGAGAGCCTACGGCATGATGGATATATGGTTTTACTACACATAAAGATTGAGATAGCAAATCAAAGCTAACTAGAGAAGTGTAACCCATGTGCTAAAACATTACCGCAAGCACATAAAAGATATGCAATGCGGTGGGAAAGTGGTGGCACCTTCATGTCACCATACCCAACCAATAAATCTCAGTATCTCCCATGCCTCTTAACTCCAATTCCAATATTTTCTAGCAACGATGGATGGAGATCAATCTCCCCCGTGCCTCTCAGTTCCAATTCCTATTTCCTCTAACAGCAAGAAAATCATCCATATATCTAGAGAGCGAAGATCATCAGTTATGAACTATGTAGGCTTGAAAGGCGCCGAGAACGATTTTATGCCGATCAGGCAAAGTCTGTTAACCACTTTATTTGTCCAAGCTCACTTGGTGGAGGAGATGGCGATCGAACTGGACGGGGAGGGACCTTTGTGTGCCAGCAACCATGGGCACCGCTATATGCACGACACTATGCACACGATTCACAGACGACAATTAAATCAGTCCGTTGATGCATGTGAACAGACACCAGCACAGCCATAGATGGGTCGTCGTGCACCGGTCGTGCATAGTGTTTGTCGTGTGTACAGCAGTTCCGAACTAATTAAGCTTCCACAACGTGGTTCACGCATAATGTAATAACAATGAGTATCGATCTCTATCCTATGCCCGGGATCTTGCATTGAGATGTGTAACTAAATTGTTTCGTTTTGGTTGAGCTTCATTTTCAAGCAGCAGACAGTTGTGATAATCTTTGCGCAAGCTGTACTATTTGGGCACCATTGGATAAATCCTTGGTTACTTGGGAGCGTGACGGAATGTTGCCTCCTCCCTAGCTTGCATGTTGAAAATCCTCCTCGAGCAGCATGACAGTTGGGTTGCTGGGTGTAAGTTATTTCTTATTCAAAAAAGAAAACAATGTGTAATAAAAAGTCATTTTACATCAAGGCTCACACCATGCTACAAAAATAATATTAGAGGCTCATACATCATCTTGCAAGAAGAGAAAGAGTAAAATCTCTTCGGACATACTACAAAGTACAAGCTTATATATCATTCCGATCTACTCCCTCTGTACCGAAATACATGTCGCTGGAGTAGCTAAAGTAGTTCTTGATGAAGGTGCTTAGCATGCTGATGTTGTTGGGGAAGATCCTGTAGGGCCCACCCGGGGTCCCTGATGGTGTCTCGCACCTCGACGCAGGCGGACAGGGAGAAGGCCATAGCCATCCGGTGGTCGTCGTAGCGTAGGTGTCAATTGCCTCCAGGTTCAACTTCTCCCGTGAAGTGATGATGCTGCAGTCCGGGACATCTTCCACAAATTCTCCTGTATAGGGCACATGACACAAGACATGTGAGATTAGAGCATCTATAACCCGAATTGCA